AACTACGGTGTTTAGTCCCCACAAAGCCACCACGAGAGAGTTTGCAACTTCTATGGCAGAAACACGCAGCAGAGGAAGGCAACAGATCTCAACTCGATTTCCTTTTTCTCTTCCCCACAAAATAGACAAGTCACTGAAGCCCTCCTCCTGTGTCCTGACTCCATAGAAAATGGCTCATGCTGAACAGATGTGACTGAAGATTTATTTAGTTTATGAATTAAGTGATGCTACAATAGAGTTGTCATGACAACCGACCCCCACCTTGTGGGGACCGATTGTGATCTCTCAGGTGTACTGCAGGACCCTCTGACTTGCCAGTGATTGCTTGCTGCTAGCTGAGAACAGCAGTCGCAGGTGAAGAAAAGGGGCAAAACCTGGCTCAGGGGGCCAGGAGATCACCTGTGTTTTCTTGGTTCGCCAATAAACTCCTGACTGGTGTTGAATGGACTCTTAGGTATGACTAACTTCTCCTGGGATATCCCTGGAAGTGTGTTTCCAGAAAAGTTTCAAGTACAATATTGCGATATTTATTTCTGCATTGGTATTACCTGCTATCAGAAGAAGGGGTATCGGCCAAACCAGCAGGTGTCAGGTTTTCTTGGGGGAAAGATTGTCCTCTCTGGGACATTGTCTGTGGACTGAATGGATCAGTGGGAAACCAAGGTGTGGTGAGTGAAATATTCAGTCACATCAGGAAGCACAAATCAAGACCGAGGGAGGCATTGGGAGCTGTGGGTACAAGGGAGGCTGTACTGTCCGAAATGCCAGAGCCACCTGCATGTCTGCGCCTTCTGTCCCCATGTGAAGTCTTCCCTGCTATTTCAGAGAGTTCCAGGAGCTCCCCATCACTGCCTCTGCTGCCCTCGTAAAATCCCTGCTCTTCTGGTGTCTTGTAGCGAGGGTGCCATCCAGTCTCAGCACTCAGGATACTAGGCAGCCCGGGGGTCATTGCGGGGGGGGGGAGGGGCAGGGGGCAGAGAGATTGGCTCTTGATCCAATTCCACGCCTGTTCTACAACGTTTAGGTCTAAGCTCTCACAGTGTCTTTCATGAACACGGTCCCTTCAGCTTCTACTCTAACCCCTCCATTGGTAGGGAACTCAGAGCTACTCAATAGCTTGATGGGAAGGGGCAGGGGCGAGGAGACCATACCATTCCTGCCATCTCCCTATCTCCTGTGGCTAGTCCCCCTACCTCCCAGAGTCTCCGATTCAAGAACATCAAAAGTGCTACCTTTTCCCTCAGCCACAGAACAACTCCAGTCCCTCTCTGTGGCCACGTACTAAAGCACAAGTCCACCGGTTCTACAAACAGTGATCCGGTCTCGGCTCCGTGAGGCCATGCTCCTGCCCAAGGCAAGAGAGCAGGCATCAATCTTCCACGACACATGAAGTCATCCACGGTTGTAATGCAGGATTTATATTCCTGTACCTAGAGAACCAGTTCCCCCTCACAATCCTACAGGTTTGTTCTAATTCCACGAATGAGGGTTCCAGAGACTTTTCTTCTTCCCTTCCCTGGCAAAGACCTTTTATATCTATGGTCAATTATTTAACTACTCATTTCACCCTCCAGCAGGACTAGGGGCACACCAGTTTTCATGGGAGGCAGACAAAACCTAAAACTTTGTAAGAGTAGGGTTCTGCTGTTAAAAATAGGAAGCTTCAAGAAAAGAGAGGGAGGGTAATTAACATGATTCTTCATGTCCAAGTAGATGGTCCTAGGATAATGCGTCCTTCTCTGAGAACTGTGGGGCAAGCTCTGGCTCTCAACTGGAAAGCTGACCGGACTTCTAGCTTCAAGGTCGGTAGTGTTGTTTGCTGTCAGGTGAAAGCTAGAGAGGCACTTCCCCAACCACCGACAGAAGAGCCTCTGGTGCCCTCCTGGGGTGGCCACTCTGCTGTGCTGTGGCCTCTTCACAAGACCACATCCCCAACTGTCTTTCTCCTTTGTCCATTCACTCCCACACTGGACCCACCCTTCCGCCATCTTCTCAAAAACCAGCTGTCAGGAGCTTTTCTGGATCGGGTCACCGGACTTGCCCTTGCTAGTTTCTCTGCCACTCTGCCTGCTCTGGGTGGAGCAGCATGGCCTGGAGGCAAGACGCAGGGGACTGCAAGTCAGAGGACTGGATACAAGTGTGGCTCTGCCACCTCTTCAATGGGAGAGACTGGCTACATTATTTGATCTCTTTGAACTTGAATTTCCCAATCTCAGTCTTTAAACATACTGCCTGATGTGCTATCTCAGAGAGATTTGGGGAGGCTGCTTTTCTCCCACTGCCGCTTCCTTGGCTATAGACTAAGCCCCAGTAAGGTAACACTCCTCAAGGATGTCCCATCGGAGGAGTGACCCGTCTGATGGGAGTCCATGGGTCAGAATCTGGGTGAACCTGCTCTGCCCTTCCTCTTCCTTTTTTAACCTTCTGCGTGCAGCTTTCAAAGTATACATGACCTCTTCTGTGACTCCCGGGCACAGCTGAGCCACTGGTTCAGAGGTGGGGAGGGGAGGGGAGGGGATTGTCCCCTTCTCTGCAGCCACGTACATGCCATGTTCTCTAGTGCCAAATGTGTGATGAAGACAGTACTTCTCAGTTGGTTCAGAATCCAGGTGGGGATGGGAGCACCAGGTACCAGGTCCCCTGAAGATCCTCAACAAGGGAAGTGGAGAACTTCAAAAGTTACGAAAGGGCTTTTAAGGGACAATACCTCCTTCCCCTCCCTGCCCCTCAGTACCTCTGTTACCAAGCTCCCTTGGACAGGGGCAGTCAATGGAGACCAGTTAACGGTGTTTTCTTTCAGAGACTAGATACGGACAAATACAGGTGCACACGCACGCGCGCGCGCACACACGCACACACACACACACTCACACACATTCTCTCCTGGACACGAACAGAGCAGGCAGAATTCTGTTTAACAGCTTATGTTTGATATAACTCGGAGATCTTTTTTGTCCTAGAACATAGAGCGTCTTCCCTCTTTTGAATGGCTACATTGTACTCCATTGGCTAGTCCCCTCTCAACAGACACTGGGGGTTTCCTTGATCTTCCACTGTTGCAGAGTTGCGCATAGTGGGAAAACGGGCACACTCTGGAGCCAGCCCACCTGGGTGTGAGCCCCAGAGCCACTGCTCGCTAGCAGTGAGAACTCAGCACATTACTCGGCCCCTCTGGGTCTCCCTTTCTCTTCTAAAATGCGAATAATGACCATTGTAGCCTCCTAGTGTTTTTGTGAGGCTTCCATGAACACATGTTGGGCACTAGGCGTATACTTAGAGTATGAGGAGCCTCACCAAGTTTTAGGCAGTTTGGTGAACACTACAATTTAAACTATGCACAATTTAAACTTTCCACAGGATGTATTTGCAGCTATAGGATTTAAAACTTGGTTAGCTTTTGCCAAATTGCCAACCATATCATTTGAATGTGTGTCTTTGTTCCCCACAGTCCTGCCCGAGTGGTTTGTTAGCAGACTTTGTGAATGTTGCTCATCTCATGGATGGAAAACACCTAACTGTAGTTTTAATTACTATTTCTTTTATTATGAGTAAACTTGAATATCTCTTCATCTATTGAAAATCTACTTACATTTCCCTTTCTGACTAACCCAGACTCATCCTTTGTGCTTTTTTGTTTCATTTTGATTTTCCTACTGAGTTGCTGATTTTTTTTTTTCTGACTGACTTACAGAAGCTCTGAGTATATTAAGAAAATCAGCCCTGTGGCTATGAGATGCTTTGCAAATATTTTCCAGGCTTGGCATTTTGAACAGTATTTTGTAAGTCCAGTTAATCAACTTTTTCTGGTTTATTGGCTTGGGGTCAAACATTCGAGGCAGGGACCACTCGATTCTTAAAGCTCTCCCATATACTCTCCTAGTACTTTTACACTTTTTTTTTTACAGTTAAATTTTTGATGGATCTAGAATTTATTTTGATTTAAGGAGGGAGATGTGGATCTGATCTTATTTTCATCCACATGGCTGTCTACCTGTTGAAACACCTTTTACATATAAACCAATTTCCCCCAAATGATCGGATATGCCATCTTACTCTCAATTTCTTCATGCATATCTATTTCTAGTCTTCTTACTCTATCCCATTTGTTTATTTGCAAACCATGAACACATTTTAATGAGTCATGCTTGATTTAAAAAAAATACTTTTAGTTAGTGGTTAGGGGTAGCCTTCCTATATTCTTTTATTTGCTTCTTTTGATAAAATTTCCTGGATTTGCTTTCTGGTTTATTGTCTACACAGGGTCTTTAGAGTAACCTTACTGAATGAAGAATAATCTTATTGGGGGTGGTGGGGGCGCCTGGGTGGCTCAGTGGGTTAAGTCTTGCCATCGGCTCAGGTCATGATCTTGGGGTCTTGGGACCAAGCCCCACATCGGGCTCTCTGCTCAGTGGGGTAGGCTGCTTCTGCCAGTGTCCCTCCCCCCTGCTCGTGCTTTCTCTCTCTCTCTCTCAAATAAATAAAATCTTAAAAGAAAGAAAGAAAGAAAGAAAGAAAGAAAGAAAGAAAGAAAGAAAGAAAGAAAGAAAATCCTATTGGTGTTTTTACTAGGACTGTCTGTGGAATCATCCATTAGGATTTGGGGGGGTTCACATTTAAATTTTTGGTTCCCATATAATATCACTTTGCATATCTTTTATGGTATAGCAAAGAAGTGGACATCCACATGTGAACAGCGCTTTGTACAAGGAGAACTTCTATTTGTGTAAAACTCTTGGGATGTACAAAGTACCATAGAAGATGACATCTTCCTTATTCTCGAACTAAGAGGTAAACGTTATTAGTACTGTTTTCACGAGGAAGGAGCTACGCTTACCAAAAGAATGCAGCTAGTTGGGGCTGAGGTTGAGACCCGAGCCCCAATCAGTTCTGAGCTTGTTCTGGGGTACCGTCCCCTCTGTTTGGCTTCTGGCTATGGAGGAGTTCTGGATCTCTGGATGTGACAGGACCAGACAAATAAATGATACGTGAGGAGCCAGCACTGCAGACTGGTTGGTTTTATTTGGAACTCCTGCTCACTTGCCCATTAGGCTGGCTTCTCCCAAGCTGGTCAGTGGCACCAAGTGAGCACCCTTTGTGCGCTGAGCTCTGTACCACACACTCTGGAAGAGGACCAGGGAGGCCGTCTCAGCCCTCAAAGGGCTAAGAGGCTGTCCGTCCAAGCAGGAGGGCTGGCAGTGTCTTCTCAGGCCAAGAGAAGCACTCCCCCTCGGTCTTCAAAACCGCCGGCTAACATTTCCAGATCCCACCCAAACAGCTCCAACCAGACCATGCTGTGGTCCAGAATTTGTCCTAAGGGAAAGTGATGAATAAAGATAGAGCCGAGAGTAAGAGGGACCGGCATCAAGCCTCACTGGAAAGGTAGGGGGAGTCTGTCCCTTTGACTGGAGCATAGACAACCGTGTCCAAGGGTGCAGAACGTTTCTCAGTCAGGTGTTCACTCTTTTCTTCCAAGGTTTTGAAAGCTACGCTAGCATAGGTAAGTGCTTCCTCCGGAGATGAAAGCTGCAGAGGAAGAAGGAGGAGGAACGACTGAGTTCAGTTTGGAGGGCGGGGTGTCTTTAAAAGCCAGGGTCTCAGGGGCCTGGGTGGCTCAGTGGGTTAAAGCCTCTGCCTTCAGCTCAGTTCATGATCCCAGGGTCCTGGGATCGAGCCCCACATGGGCTCTCTGCTCTGTGGGGAGCTTGCTTCCCCCACCCCTCTCTGCCTACTTGTGATCTCTGTCTGTCAAATAAATAAATAAAATCTTTAAAAAAAAAAAAAAAAAGAAACATTTAAAAAAAAAAAAAATAAAAAAATAAAAGCCATGGTCTCTGTAGAAGCCCCTTGGAGGATGTGGTCATAGAGGATCAAAGAGATCAGAAGATGCACATGCCCAGGGTCCCCAAAAGAGTGTGATCCTCTTACCTTGGCCGGAGGATCACGGCTGGAGTGACTATCCAAGGGAGGATCCCGGGCCCAGGGACTGGAGTGGCCTGCCACAGGGGCCAGGAAAAAGAGGAACAAGTCTCACCAGTGGGGCGTGGAGGAATGGGAAGCCTCTCTCTGCAGGCTGGGGGGCGAGGTGGGTGTTGGAGGTGGCAAAAGTGGAGGGGTAGGGAGGGCAGAGACAGAAGCCAAGGGTATCAGTTCCCCAGTCTGTGGAGAGGGTGAGCTACCAAGGTTTTACTCCCCCTCAGAGCTAACACCAAGACTTAATTCTCAATGTCAGAGCCAGAAGAGCTGTCCCATCTCTCGGAGACCACTTACATTTTCTGTAGGTCTTCACGATGAGGAAGACAAGGACCAGCAGCAGCAGCGTTAGCAGGACCCCCACAAAAAAGGCCAAGACCAAATGCTGTATGCTGTTTTGGCAAAGAAAGGGAGCAGATGACCCACTGGGCCTTCTGAAGGCCTCTGCTAAAGGCCAGAGGGTCACCATTCCTGCCTGCGGGTCGATCCCTAAAATAGCTTTCACGCTGGCTAGGTGACTTTTACCCACTGCTTTTCAACTTTCTGCTTTGGGGTTCCAGAACTCTCTGAAACCTCAGTGCAAATTGTGAGCTCTTGTCCCCCTCAAAAATCTTCACAAGCCCACCAGTACACACCGTTTGTTGATGAGCTGAGGGGATTCATGGATCTCCTGAGGGATCTCCCTCCCTGGGGCACTCCGGGTTAAGAACCACACTCTAAATATAAAAAACCGATTCATTTTTTTCAACTGTTTCTGGTCCCTTTTCCCCAGCCCTCCCTCCTAAGTCCCATCAGGCAGGGCTGTCAGCACAAAATCCAATGCCATGTAGTGCAAGATGAAATGGGTGGGAGAATGGCTCGCTTACTTGGTGGGCTCCTGGGAGCAGGGTCTGGAGGCAATTGTCGGAGCTGTTGTGCTGAAACTTGGTTTGTCTGTGAGAGAATGAGAAGGGGCTTAGTGCATCTGCCACATCTCATGAATCTTTCCAGCTTAAATTAAGTCTCCAGGTGCCCCACCCTATCCAAGTCACCAGGGGACATACACAATAGAGAGTCCCACTCTGTAAAAGGAGAGAACGGTGTTTCATGTCCTGGATCCTTTAACAAAAGTAGAGCTTTCGGGAGCCTGGGTGGCTCAGTGGGTTAAGCCGCTGCCTTCGGCTCAGGTCAATGATCTCAGGGTCCTGGGGTTGAGTCCTGCATCGGGCTCTCTGCTCAGCAGGGAGCCTGCTTCCCTCTCTCTCTCTCTCTCTCTCTGCCTACTTGTGATCTCTCTCTGTCAAATAAATAAATAAATAAAATCTTTAAAAAATAAAAAGTAGAGCTTTCACTTAAAAACTTAAAAAACAAACAGCTACACCCATGAAAGAGGAGCCTCATTTTTCTGCAGCCCCGTGTGCCCCTTTGACAAATAAACACATCTCCTGTCCCTCCCTCCAAGATTTAATGGACCCCAGGGAAATGTGCTTCCTCAGACATAAGCAGACAATGTCAAGGCCAGGGAGTAGAGAACCAAAAGCAAAACCCAAAACTAGCATTTCCCAAAGTTTTGGGGAACTTGAGCTTGGAAACTGCTGCCTTTTTTTAGTGGTTCCTTTGTTTGCAGGGTGGTTTTTAACAGTGACTAGTCAAAGGCAGCCACAGTGAGTTCTCCCAAGGCCAGTGCCATAAATAGGGGGCCAGTAAGGGAAGTGAACTGCGTTGCCCTAAGCTACCCAGCTGGTCTTGTACTGAGCACACAGACACCCTTTACTCAACTTGGGAGGATAGACTGTTCTCCCTGGTTCCCCTTGACACTCTTCTTGGCATTGGGTAAAATTTGATTCTTCCAACCTCAGAAATGTTGTCCCATTCAGCTCTTCAGTATAGTTACTGGTTAATCCAGTCCATGTTGACTCAGTAGTGAGGCAGGTAATGGTTTCTGCCCTGGACTTACCATTTTTGGGTTCAGGTTTGGAACTCCATCCTCCCATGCTGTCTTCCTGAGAATAAAAAATGTTCCTCTTTGAAAGCTAGAAAGGAAAGGTAGCAGAGGGGTGAACTCTGAGGCTGTGATTTTAATACCAGAGCAGTATCCATGAGAGAGAGGCTAATCATGGTGGGTGTTCTAGTGAGGACAGTGGTCATGGACTTTACATGGTGTGGTTATTATACCTCAGCAAACAGTTCTCAGCTTTGTAGGTCTAGAAATCTGATTTTAGCAGGGCTAAAATTCAATCAGAATTGACTGATTGGCCCAGAACTGACTCATACCAACTAACTCACAGGAGACTGATGTATAAACTGAAATGACCTAAGGAACATGTTGGTGTCACCAGCGCATTCTATCAGAACACATGGGAGAACCATTTAAAACCACAGTTTTGCTTGGCAAACATTGAATTGAACTGAGTATGGGAGAAGATGAGTGGATGATTTTAATACTGAATGTCATAGAGGTCTAATGTATTTGCTTCACTCCTCCCTGGCAGCTGGGTAAACTTTGACCCACTTTCTCGTGAAGGCCCTTCCTCTAGGCTGTTTCAGAATTTTTATTCTGTTCAAGTATTAACTTTCCAAGAGTGTCAGTGTCCTTATCTAGGCTACGGTTCTACTTTTTACGTTAAGTTTTCTGTATTTTCCCTTTTATTTATTTGTATTAAAAAGTGTAAAGTACCTAAGAGCAGCAGAGTAGAATCACCTGAAATCCTACTATCAATTATTATATTAATAATTTTGGAGTATTCCTTTTTAATCTTCCATGCATTTCCTAAAAGCTAGTTGAGACTTCATATCTCCTTTTCTGTTGTTGTTTTTAAGTTTTTTCTTTATCATAAACATCCCTCCCATGCCATTCAAAACTTTCTATAAGCATTTTTAGTGACCATAAGTGTTTCAGTTATAGCTACGTACTATAGCTCACTTAACCAGTTTCTTTGCTGATAAAAATGGTCTCCACTTTTATTTAAATAAAAAAACAAAGACATTTTAGGAAACCACAGTTTGACTTCATATTTAGGCACACCCATGATAAGAATTTTTGGCTCTGTCTATACCTGCTGTATTTTAAGGTAATTTATTTAGATAATAAATGTCATCTATTATTTGTGTTTATTTACTCAGCTTTCAAAAGCGAATCAATTTCCAAGTCCTTGGACATGGGGAGGGTCGGGAGAAGGATAACTAATTGCCATGTACCACTTACAACAGCAATAATAATAAGTGCATTAGACTCGACCAAATAACATAATGTAAGGTAAAGTGCCGACAGGGAAATCTGGTGAGAATTCTGAGACACAAGACTAGGAAGCCCATCATCTACAGCAGAATCATCAGTGGTAACAATTTTTCTAGCATTTTTGCTCCTTTTCTAATTTAAAAGTCAACAGTGCTCTTTGTAGAGCACCATAAAATAGAGACTATTTTTTTAAATATTGAAATATGTGTTTGCCCTAAAATTTATGAATTTATTATGAATTTGCTATGAATTTATATTAAACTTCACCACTGGGGACATAGGAGATAAGAGGATTGTAAGTTTCTGTAAAGTCTTAACCTTCAAATAAGTGGCTCTGAGTTTACAACCATCCCAAAGAAATGCCACCACAGCCACCTTTAAAATTTTGGGGGTCACCCCATATTGAAAGACAAAACCATCACACAGAGCAGCAGGAAAATAAATACTTACAGATCCAGGCCAAGAAATGCAGGAAACACATTTCCATTTGAAAACAATGCCCCAAACATTTGACAGAGCATAAATTAAAATAGAAACAGCACTATATATACTTTTGCACATTTTGTCCAGTACTGGGAGACTCTTAGCAATTGCCACAAAATCCACTAACTACGTGCAGCCACTCAAATACAACCCTTTCCCCACCAAATAAAGTTAAAGAGAAAAAAAAGAGATAGAAACCACTAGAAATTAGATGACATTTCCCTTGCATGAATAGTTATTTCATCTAGATTAAAAGCATGGGGTAAATGCATTTACCTTCTAAGAAAAAGTCCGGTCATAAGATGCCCGTTGTCTAAGACTGAACTTTTCACTTGCTTCCGTGACTACTCCTACTTTTCAGAGATGACGAAATCATGATTTACTGCTACTACCCCATCAAGCTGTGTGTTGCAAAGATCTAGTCTAAACTTGAGGTCAGACTTCCCCTTTGAGCCCATTTTATATATATATGTTTTAATTATTTTTATAACACCATATATTTTTTAATCCCATGAACAGCTTCTCTTATATCTTTTGACACATGAACACTAGAACATGGGGGTTAAGACAAGTGTATTTCTAATTAAGCACTTAACTACCATGCGAGATAAGGTGGAGTTCCCAGCAATATGGCATTATCATTGTCATCAAGCACCTTCAAATATCACTTGTTCTAACCAGAGAGATGAGTTTGATAAGGAGGGACAAAGAGCAGGGTCAAGCAGAGTCAAGTGTAAGGTACTAGCTGGGCAGACATGAAGTGTGCTAGGAGTTATGGAGATCACTGAGGGCGCTCGAGTGGCTCAGTCAGTTAAGCATCTGACTCTTGGTTTCGACTCAGGTCATGTTCTCAGGGTCATGAGATTGAGCCCGTGTGGGGCTCTGTGCTCAGCAAGGAGGATATTCTCTCTCCCTCTCCCTCTGACCCTCCTCCCAGCTCATGCTCTGGCTCTCTCTCTCTCTCTCAAGATAAATAAATAAAATCTTAAAAAAAAAAGAGTTATGGGCAATCCCTTTAGAGTGAAGGTGAGTCATTTCTTTGTAAATATTTATCCATAAAATAATATTAATAAAGTACTCTGCATCTTAAAAGAAGTAGTAAAAAGTAAAGGGAGGATGAATTTAGAATTTAGAAAAATAAACATATGGATTTAGAAATATTATCCAAAAGAGAATTTATGAAAGATTCACTATTACATATTCACAGATATTTAAGAAATTTGGAGCACAGTAATTTCTAAGAACACCATAGAAGTTCTGGTCACTCCACTGTGTTTTGTGTTTGGCTCTGTAAGAAAACCTTGAGAGTGAAATCTGATATTTAAGGATTCAAGAAGTGTGACAAAAGAAAATAATCCCTGAAATTATTATTCTTTTTACAAAAGAATTTGTAATTTATGGAGTTAATGGAAAATAAAGCAAGAATTCTTATGAGGCCAAAGTTATCAGAGGAACAGATTGGATAATCCTCATCAGATTATTCTCTCAGCAACTAAAAGAAACTATTGAAATAGAGAAAAAACACCTTTAACTTGGAATTACTCTCTCTGGATCTCTTAAGAAAGGCATGTTATTTTTTTATGTGGTATTTGAAAACAAGAAACATTCTAAAATTTGAAAAAAGGATTTAAAATATTAATACACTTGCTAAATAAACTGTGTGAATTAGGTGCTATGGATATTTCAGAGAACAAAGCAGAAAATTTTCTCATGGGGCCTATTGTCTAATTGAGAAGAGAAATAAAAAACAAGAAAACAACAGACATTACAGATTGTGTTAAAGGCCATGAGGGACAGAAGCAGATTAAATGGTGGGAGGTCGTTAGATGAGATGGATGAGCAGGGATGGTCTGTCCAAGGAGCAGACACTGAGAACCAGAGGATGGGGAAAAGCTAGGCAGGCAGAGAGCCCCAGAAAGACAGTTTCAGGCAGAGGGCAGAGCAACTCAACAGGCAAGGGAAAAGGAAGAGCTGGCAGAGCTTGTAGAGCTGGTGAAATCAGGCAAGGCTGCATGCTGGTGGACCCAGAGCTGGGGTTCTGGACCATGGATGGGTTTTGGACAGAGGGAGCAGAAAGGAACCACATAGGGCACCCCAGGCCTGGGACTGGTTGCTGGGACTCAGGAGATGTTTACCCAGAGATCAGCATGGTTCAAGAGTGGAGCATTTTTTAAATGTATTAAATTCAATTGTTTAACATATAGTGTATTATTAGTTTCAGAGGTAGAGTTCAGTGATTCATCAGTCTTACATAATAACTCAGTGCTCATTATATCATGTGTCCTCCTTACTGTCCATCACCCAGTCACCCCATCCCCCATCCTCCTCCCCTCCAGCAACCCTCAGTTTTTTTGTATGATTAAGAGTCTCTTATGGCTTGTCCCCCTAATTTTGTCTTATTTTTCCCTCCCTTCCCCTCTGATCCTGTTTTGTTTCTTAAATTCCACATATCAGTGAGACTGTATAATTTTCTTGCTCTGATTGACTTACTTTGCTTAGCATAAAACCCTGTATTTCCATCTACATCATTGCAAATGGCAAGACTTCATTTTTGTGAAGGCTGAGTAGTAGCCTATTGTGTATATATACCACATCTTCTTTATCTCTTCATCTGGCAATGGACATCTGGGCTCTTCCCATAGTTTGGCTATTGTGGACATTGCTGCTATAAACACTGGCATGCAGGTGCCCCTTCAGATCACTAGATTTGTATCTTTGGGGTAAATCACTAGCAGTGCAACTTCTGGGTCATAGGGTAGCTCTACTTTCAACTTTTTGAGAAATCTCCATACTATTTTCCAGAGTGGCTGTGCCAGATTGAATTCCTACCAAAAGCGTAAGAGGGTTTACATTCTCCGTATCTCCAACAACACCTGTCATTTCCTGACTTGTTAATTTTAGCCATTCTGACTGGTGTGAGGTGGTATCTCAATGTGGTTTTGATTTGTATTTCCCGGCTACCAAGTGATGTTGAGCACTTTTTCATGTGTCTGTTAGCCATTTGGATGTCTGTTCATGTCTTCCGCCCATCTCTTGATTGGATTATTTGTTCTTTGGGTGTTGAGTTTGATAAGTTCTTTATAGATTTTGGGTACTAGCCCTTTATCTGATATGTCATTTGCAATTATCTTCTCCCATTCTGTCCGTTGTCTTTTTTTTTAAATTTTTTATAAACATATAATGTATTTTTATCCCCAGGGGTACAGGTCTGTGTACTGCCAGGTTTACACACTTCACAGCACTCACCATAGCACATACCCTCCCCAATGTCCATAACCCCATCCCCCTCTCCCAACCCTCCTCCCCCCAGCAACCCTCAGTTTGTTTTGTGAGATTAAGAGTGACTTATGGTTTGTCTCCCTCCCAATCCCATCTTGTTTCATTTATTCTTCTCCTACTCCCTTAACCCCCCATGTTGCATCTCCACTTCCTCATATCAGGGAGATCATATGATAGTTGTCCTTCTCCAATTGACTTATTTCGCTATGTCTTTTGGTTTTGTTGACTGTTTCCTTTGCTGTGAAGAACCTTCTTATCTTGAAGTCCCAGTGGTTCATTTCTTGCCTTGGTTTCCCTTGCTTTGGAAATGTGTCTAGCAAGAAGTTGCTGCAGCTGAGGTCACAGTGGTTGCTGCCTGTGCTCTTTTCTAGGATTTTGATGGATTCCTGTCTCACAATCCTTTTTGAGTCTATTTTTGTGTATGGTATAAGAAAGTGGTCCAGTTTCTTTCTTCTGCATGTGGCTGTCCAATTTTCCCACCATTTACCGAAGACATTGTCTTTTTTCCATTGGACGTTCTTTCCTGCTTTGTCGAAGATTAGTAGACCTTAGAGCTGAGGGTCCATTTTTGGGTTCTCTATTCTCCATTGATCTATGTGCCTATTTTTGTGCCGAGATGTAAGTGAATTTGAGAGATATCTAGGAGTGGAAGCAAAAACAAGGAAGGGCAAAAGATCGAAGATGTTACCAAAGAGCTGAAGGATGAAGAAGAGCCAGGGAGGGAAACAGTAGTAGCTCAAGACTTAGAGTGAAAATTAATTAATTAATTCAACATTTACTGAGCACCTTCTATGACCCACATGCATTGCCAAGTTCTGGAGAAAGCAGCATAATGAAATACTGTAGATGAAATGCTGATATCTGCACCAGAAGAGTGGGACCCAATGGAGAAAGGGCTAAGCTTACACAATAAGGAGGGAGACTGAGTGTCCTGAGAAGCACCATAGAGGAGATGTTGTATGAGTTGTGTCTTGAAAGATGAATCACATTTTCTAGACAGGCAGAGGAAGGAAGCATATTCCAGGCAGAGGGATTGCGTGAGTAAAACATGCTTTGTCATGTTAGTTACAGTCCAAGAAATGTAAGTATTTTGCCATGGCTGGTGCAGCGGGGAATGAAGGTCAGGTGGGGATGGGAAATGGAAGAGAAAAGGCTGGAGGAAGGAAAAGACCAGGTAATGGAGGACTCTAAACAAACCTTACCTTAGGGGGAATGGAGAAATGGCTGAAGACTGACATGGTCACATTGGGTTTAGGCAACAGAAGGGAGGGGCTAGGCAGTGGGTAGCAAATCCTTTACCATTGCAGAGGTCTGACAAGAGGCAGTGGCTATGAGGAAGAAGAGATGGGGAAGAGAGGTGATGAATCTAGTCATTTACTACTTGTAAGAGGAGGGTATGGGAGAGAGGAGCTCAGGGTAGCTCCCAGATTTCTGCATCGTTATCACTGACTAGTAGTGCCGATATAGAAGTGATATAGAATTGGACAAATAATGTGTTTACTCTTTGACACATTGACTTCAGGGTGTTTGTGCAACATTCAGGCAGAAATGTGGCAAGGGTAACAGGACACACAGATCTAGAGCTCATGAAAGAGATCTAGATTTGTGTGATAAACAGTCCTAGTTCTTGCCCACAACCAATTCTCCTCTCCTTCTGGCCCAGAGTCTCACCTGTGGTTGTGGTGGGGGGTGGTGTTGCATGTTACTTGTTGTGGCCAAAAGACTACGAATGAAAGTGATGTATTCCCTTCGATTTGAAGCATTTAATCACTGAAGTAAGACCTCTTCTGACCCCTTCTGCAGGGTGGTCACGGAGATTTGTGGTGAGAAGGTAAGGTTGCAGGCCCTGAAGCTGGATCACTGTGTCATCATATAGAGGATAGTTTCTCCGGAGGGTCACCTGGACCTATGGTGGATTCTTTATGAGCAAGAAATAAGCTTTTCCACATTACACAAAGATGTGGGGATAGTTTCTGATCTCCCTTAACCTAACCCATCCTGCCTAACGATTTGAGTTATAAGCAAGGAAGTCAGCAGCATACAAGTGATAGTAAAAGCCATGGGAATGGCTAAGACTGTCCACGTAGCCTGTAGAGTGGGAATAAAAATTCATAGGCCAGAACCCTGAGAAACACCAATATTTAGGAGGGAGGCAGACAGTTGTCAGCTAAGGAAACTGAGAGGAAGCAGTGACAGCAAACACAAGCTATTAGAAGCCAGGAAGGAAAGGAAGGAAGGAAAGCGTGGCCGGTAGCACCAGATACTGCCAAGAGGGAGACCCAGTAACATGAGGACTGGAAGGAGTGGACTGGATCTGGAAATGAAGAGATCATGACCCCTTTCTTTGAACACAGCTTAGGGTGTGGCAGTGGCAAAAGAATAAGGCTTCAGTGGGTTGAACGGTGAACACGAATCCCAGGACATAGAACAGACTGGATCTTTAAAAGAGATCCTCTTGTCAAAGAACACCAACCAATGCTGATGAAACATTTTAAACACCAGAATTGAGAAATGCGTGGCTGAACGGGATGCTGGGAATCCTCAAAGGTACAAAGGAAGCATATTGAGTGAGAGCTGGAGCTGGGGTTTGCTCTGGGAACAGCTGCTAATTTTTGTTGACTCAGAGCTAGGGTCGAAAGGCCATGTGCATGAGATCAGGAAACCGAATCTAAAGCCTGCACCAAGGCGGGATTGGGGGGGGGGTGGATTGCATCAGACCCTCTGAAAGGAGAACCACAGTGGGTGGATTAGGAAAAAAGCCACAGATGGACATGTTAAGGATCCTTGTACTAGCTTTCAACAGCAGCATAACAAATGATCACACATTCTGAAACCTAAAAGAGTACACATTTATTATCTCTCAGTGTCTGTGGGTTAGAGGCTTTGGTACTGCTTACCCGGGTTCTCTGCTTAGGGTCTTATCAGAGTGCACTGAGGGCACTGGCTGGAGCCTTGGTTTCATCAGAGGCTTGACTAGGAAAAGATCTACTTCCAAACTCCATTTTTTGCATGAATTCTTCTCCTTGTGGCTGTACGACTGAAGGGCCCTAGCTTCTTACTGCCAGTGTGCCGGGGTCAACCCTCGGGTCCTAGAAGCTGCCTGCCGTTCCCCACCTGTGGTCCTATTCATAGGTAGTTCACAACATGCCAGTCTGCTTCTTTGAGGCCAGCAGGAGAGTCTCGCCAGGCTGCCAGGATGGTGGTCTACAGTGTAATGTAGCAGTGGGAGTGACTTCTCATCACCTGTGCCACATAAAATAACCCAATGGAGGGAGTGGCAACACATCTCCTTTGGTATATTGTATCATTAGATGCAAGTCACAGAGTCCATCATTGCTCAGGGGAAGGGATTTTACTGGGGTGACACCAGGGCAGACACTGGGGGGCACTGCAGAACTCTGCCTGTCACACTGGCTTATTCCAGTCTTGGCTCTGGGCAGAGGACAAAGAGAAAAACAAAACAACTTTTGAGGATTCTCTAACCACAAACCTGACTTCAGGAAGTTTGGGGCCAGATTTTGTACTCCTTGCGCCTCTGTATCTTCCGTTTTTTGTCATTCATTTCACAATAGTTTCTAATTTCTTCTTTGATGCATGGATTGCTTAGAAATGTATTTCCTAATTTCAAAATACACATTGATTTCCTTATCATTTGGTTAACTTTTAAGCACAACTGCTCTGTGATCAACAAAAAATATTATGCATGATTTCAATCCTTCAAAATCTGTTGAAGCATGCATTATGCAATATTACATGGTCAATTTTTATATACTATCTTTTTTTCCCCCAGATTTGTTTATCTATTTGAGTGAGAAAGAGAGCTTGACAAGGAGGGAAAGAGGGAGAGGGAAAGATCATCTCAAGCAGACTCTGCACTCAGTGGAGCCCTACACAGGGCTCGGTCTCACAACCCTGAGATCACGACCTGAGCCGAAACCAAGAGTCAGAGGCTTCAGTGACTCTGAGCCACCCAGGGGCCCTTTGAATGCTATTTCATATGTACTTGAGAAGACTGTGTAGCCTGTGGTTATTGGCAGTAGCATTCTATATGTCTCTATTAAGTACAGTTTGTTGTTCTGTCCAAATTCTATATCCTAACTGCTTACTAATTTTTTAGTCATGGATGTGATTATGTATTTGTCTACTTCTACATAAAAAATATTTTAATCTCCCAAGAGCTTATCTTTACACTTATCTTAGGTCTACTCACGTATTTAACAGCTGTTTTTCTTCCTTTTCCCGTTTCTGGCATTTTCTATGGGATCATTTTCCTTGTCTTAAGGATACCTTTTAGTCTTTCAGTGAAGTGCTGCTGGTTGTTAACTCATTTAGTTCTTTCAAAATCTTTATTTCTCTTCCATTCTTAAAAGATATTAAAAAAAAAAAAAAAAGATATTTTAATGCCATAGAATCCTGGTTGGTTATTTCCTCCCCGTATATCGACCATTTCGTGTCATGATTTTCTGGCTGTGAGCTCTTTTAAGTACTGCCTCTGCTTCATTTTCTTTGGGGATTCCAACTACGTATTAGACCTTGTTGTATCTTCTCTCCTACTCTCCATTTGGTATTTCTCATTTTTTTTTTGTCTCTCTCTCCTTCCTTCTAGATATTCTAAGTTATTTCCAGTTCATAATTGTTCCTTTCACCATGGTCTAATCTGCTATTGACAAGAGCCAACTGAGCTAATTTTTCTATATATTTTTTTCAGTTCTAGAATTTATATTCTTCAAATTTTGTTTCTTTAAATGTATGCTCAGTTCTCTGTCAACATTTTCAAACTTGACTTTTATCTGCTTTAATACAGTAAGCATAGTTTATGGCTTAATATTTAGTTTTTGCTTCCAGTATCTTATCTTCTAATCATCTGATTATCTTTTACTGTAAAACTGGGTTTGAAAAATCATTTGTAGAAATATAAGACTAGGGTCATGTTTTATTCCTCTAAACCAGGTTTCTTGTATTGCTTTTGCCAAGAACCTGGGGCCACCAGCAATCTGGGATCACCTTAATCCAAGTTCAGGGCTGAGTGTTCATGGAGTCATCCACTCACAGCAGGGCACTGGCCATGGAAGGGCTGGTTTTTTGGTCTTCACCTTTATTTCCAAGTACAGCTGACTGTGTGTGTTGGTGGTGGGAAGTGGTGATATTTACTCGGCTTCCCTCCTCAGTGGGTCCTGGACTCCATCCTTCATTTCTCTGGGAATAGCCACTATTCTGTGAAGTCACTGAAAGAATAGTTTAGTCTTTTGGCCATCTCTCTCAGATTGGCAAATGCTTCCAGGGCATTAAGTGGGCCCGAGTGCTAAACTCACCTCTCTGAATTTCCACTGTCTCTCAGTCCTTGGCCTGATGATGTCTCATTAACTCTTGGTGCTTTAATATTCTTTTTTTTTTTTTTAACTTTTTAAAAAAATTTTATTTATTTATTTGACAGATGGAGATTACAAGTAGGCAGAAAAGCAGGCAGAGAGAGAGAGGAGGAAGCAGGCTCCCTGCTGAGCAGACAGCCCAATGTGGGGTTCGATCCCAGGATCCTGGGATCACAACCCGAGCCGAATGCAGAGGCTTTAACCCACTGAGCCACCCAGGCGCCCCAGTGCTTTAATATTCTTAAGATATGTCTTATATCTCACTCAGATGTTAAAAAATTTCTTCAGTTGGACAGTCTGAGTTACCTAATCTACCATTACCAGAAGCAAATGTTACAAGATTTTGCATTTTGATTGCATTTTAACCTCAACCAACAAAGTTCCAGGAATCCACATCTTAATTTTATTTCTTCAACAACAAATAGAAAATATAAGCAAGGTACATTTTATAATACTAATAAAGAATAGAGAGTTTTTAGAATAAATGTTATAAAAGAGGTACCAGACCTTAACAGAGAACATCAAAAAACTTTAATGGAAAACACTTAAGATCTAATACATGGAGAAACATAACCCTTAATTTAATTACTTCCTTTAGTGTCGTTTATCTTGTTCCTCTATCTCCTGTAGTTCCTGGAAACTGGAATTTACATCTTAAGCCTTGACAGATTCAAGTTCATTATTTTTGGCTAGATTACATCGTAGGTGACATTGTCTACTTTATATTTAATCACATCAGGAAACATTTCTGGGTTATCTTACCATGAGGGATGTTAAGAATAACCACCGAATTAGGGTGATTGACTTGACTGGAATGGTCTTCAGATTATTATTTATCATTGATAATAATTTGTTTTCTTGCTCAGTATAAAACAACAAAAGAATCTAACATTTCCTTTTTTCATTGACAATGTAATTGATTTCTTTTGCTAATACAAAAATACTTCAAATTCAACTGGACTTTTTCATATCACGTACTTAAGAAATAATCATGATACTCTCATCTGCAGATTGCCCAGCCAGCCAATCACCATGCAGCCCATTGGTAGGTCCCCAACCACATCTACTGCATAGAAATACATTTCTGATAATTTGGAGGTAGAGATTTGGAGCCAGGGTCTGGAGTTTTGCCTCTAGGACCCCTGCTTGCCTTATCACCTCCTCTTTGAGTTGACACCATACTGCTTGGGCATGGGTAAACAAATTCCTCCAGCACATCCATGGCCCCTGGCCCAACAGAAGCAGCACGTGCTCTACAACTGGGCACCATTGCTTATGTCCAGGTGGCAAAACCCTCTCTTGGCAATGTGTCAGTGTTGCTGAATGCAGGACGTCAGTCATCCGGTTCTCTGGTTCTGGGGACTGTGGAGCCTGTTCTTAGACTCTGCTCAGACCAAGTGGCCTAATGAGGAGCCCCAGATGAAGCTGTTCTCAGCCTGAAATCGTTGGCCTGAGGGTCAGCACCCCTGCCCCACATATTAAGTAGTATCTCCTGGCATATTAGCCATCTGTGGCAACCTGTCTGGGAAGCTCGGAGTTTGTGCAAAGCGTGCACACTGGAACAGTTCAGACGTGTGAAAAACAGCAAAGAAAGGGTGGCCAAAGCGGAATCAACAGGGAGAGTGGTGGTCATGAGGTCAGAGAGATTGCTAGGGACCAGATCATATAGTACCTTGTAAATAAGATAAGGATCAGATTCTATTCTAAATGTGATGGAGCATTACAAAGTTTTAGGCAGGGGAGTGATAGGATTCAACTTACATTTTATAAAGCTCACTTTGGCTGCAGAGAATTGTTAAAAGGATGCAAGTGTACGACAGAGAATTGTAGTAGTCCAAGTGAAACATGGCAGCTTGGATTAGGCAGTGGTAGGAGTGGACATATTTGTGATAATTTTTGAGTAGAAGTAAACAAGACCTGCTGATGGACTGGGTAGAAAAGTGAAAGCGTGGGGCTCCTGGGTGACTCAATTGACTAAGCATCTGCCTTTGGCTCAGGTCATGATCCCAGGATCCTGGAATCGAGCCCCACATCGTCACTGTCAGGCTCCCTGCTCAATAGGGAGTTGGCTTCGTCTGCTTTCCTCCACCTCCCCCCTGTCCTCTGCTTGCGACTGCTCTCTGTCATAAGTAAAATCTTTAAAAAAAACGAACAGTGGGGGGCACCTGGGTGGCTCAGTGGTTTAAGCCTCTGCCTTCAGCTCAGGTCATGGTCTCAAGGTCCTGGGATCGAGCCCCGCATTGGGCTCTCCGCTCGGCGGGGAGCCTGCTTCCCCCTCTCTCTCTGCCTGCCTCTCTGCCTACTGTGACCTACCCCTCTCTCTCTCTCTCTCTCTCTTTCTAAAAAAAAAAAAAAAAAAAACGAACAGTGAAAAGGGCTAAGGTAGACTCCTAGTTTTTTGGGCTGGCCAACTTGGGTGAAAGGTAGTGCCATTATGGGATGGAGAAGACTTAGGAAGAGCAGGGTAGGGGTGGACACTAAGAGATCTATTTTTAACTTACATTTGAGATGTCTTTAAGGAATCCAACAGGTGTGTAGACAATACAAGTGAGGGTGAGTAATGTTCTGGAAATTATACTATGTAGGTCTATTTCCTCACTGCTTCTCAATCCTTTACCACAACCGTATCTATCTTTTGCGCTGCTATTCAACCAAAACTACTCTAAGGGCCACCAGAGACTTTCTGCTATTAACTCTAATGTGCACTTTGAGTCCTCTTAATCTCCCTGAAAAAGTGGCTCTTCTGACACAGAACTCTCCACAGTCTTGATTTCTTGACACTGCTCTCTCCTGGTTTTTCTCCAATAACTGGCTATTCCTTCTTTTGCGTAATCCTCTCCATTTCGAAAACACTGATATTCTTTCATGGCTCTATACTTACTTATACTCTTTCCTGAGTCACGGTGAAAAACAGTGCCTCCCATTCTCTTCTCTTTCAGGCTATAACTTCTCCTTCAAGAAAGCTATAACTCACATTGATTGTTCCTTTCTTCCATTATCTGCACACTCAAGTCCCATTAACGTTGCCTTTAGTGTTTCTCAATTACCTCCTTTCCAACCACACTGACGAGGCCTTCAGTTGAGGTCTTCAATGTCTTTTGGCTAGAATGATCCTGCCGCTGAGCAAGCTTTGCCTCTCTCCAAACTGTCTTCTTCTGTTGACAGTACCTTTTCTGAAACAAAAATCTAGTTGTCATTCCTTTGCTTAAAACCTTTTACTGGCTCCCCAGTCCTCAGAACAAAATCTAACTGCTAAACAGAACATTTAAGGACCCTAATATAACTCCTATTTGTATTTCACTTGAGTAACTTAAGATTTAAAAATGTTACTCTCTTACATTAGCTTCCCCACAATCATGAATGCTACTCCTTCTTTCTGGACCCAACCCCTGACTCTTGTGGCTAACTTTCTCTTTCAAACGCCAGCTCAGCCTTCCCTTTCTCACCTGTCACCTTTCTGCTCTCTCCATTTCACTGGATGTTCACTGACTTCTTGGGATTAGATTTTTGCTTTCAGTATTATTCATCCAGGTTGACTTTTATTAATAGGCTAGTTATTGTGGTGGTTTGTAATGTGTCGAGTGGGTTACACGAAATTACTTTCCAGAATTCTCTTCCCTGAATATTTCTGTTAGAGTGAGCAATCGATCCCTCAGCAAGTTTATAGAGCAGATGTGAAGCAGCAACTATTTAGGAGCTCATATGTGTGGTTGGTGATCTGTGGCTCCCAGGTGTTAACTGGCCTACAACTTCCCAGCCTTTCCCTGGAGCACTCTTTAGCTTTTCTAACCTTTGGCCACGGTATGTGTGAAAAAGGACCCAGGCTTTTCTGGAAGTCATACCATCAAAGTCCGAGGTAGTAAAAATGACAAGGGTTTTGGTCTGTGGTTGCGATTTCTACCTGTTCCTGTGTCTCCCACTTTACAGCCATCTTTCCCTCTTCCCTGCCTACTCTTGGACTTTGAGCTCCTACATCAGAAACAAAGGTTAACAGCTCAGAGAGCCATGCTTAAGTAGCTCCCACAACAGTGCCAAGTCAAATTCCGTACAAACCTCTATCCTAGTAGTTCTGCTTCTCCGACTAAACGCTGACTGATAGTTCTATAAAAGGAAAATGAGGCTAGTGAAACTACCTGAAGTGGTACTTGCCATTATATTCTCAAAGCACCCGTGCTAAAGTCTCTATTGTTCACATACTCTTACTGCCTTTTCTAGATTTTTAACTTTCTGAGAGGGAATTTTATCTCTGTATGATCAGTGAAGAATGGTGCTTAGCACAAACTAGGTACTTATAAATCCTTTGTTAAACAAATAATTTGGAGCACCTCTGCCAACCGTAGCAAAATCTCTTTAATAACAATAAAGATGTCAATCTGATTTCTGTAGCAGACGAATACATTAGCTACCAATAAATACTGACCCTACATCGGCTGTTACATAAATTAAAATCCTAGAAGTCAGAGAAAATAGCAGTTACTCAAATGGTACACATTTTCAAATATTTCCTATTATGTAAGTTGCCCTTTGTTTATAAGTACATCCCTAAATAAGTATGGGAGAATTAAATGCAAACAAGCCTATGGGGGCATGTGGGTGGCTCAGTGGGTTCAGCCTCTGCCTTCAGCTCAGGTCATCATCTCAGGGTCCTGGGATCGAATCCTGCATCCGGCTCTCTGCTCGGCAGGAGCCTGCTTCCTCCTCTCTCCCCCTTTGCCTGCCTCTCTGCCTCCTTGTGATCTCTCTGTGTCAAATAAATAAATAAATATATTTTTTAAAAAATTAAAAAAAACAAAAACAAAACAAGCCTATGGAAGGGCAGAATTTTTTGACATATCTGCTGGACTCTTTAGGTTAATTTTATGACACATTGGGTCCATAATATATTCTATAGACATACTAAAATAATAAAGCCAATGTGATTTGATACACATTTCCTTTAGTTATTTTAATAATAAAAAGCTTTAAATTTCCTGTAACTTGTCAGTAGCCAGAAATAGCTTACCACTAAAACATCAGTTCAGGGGTGCCTGGGTGGCTCAGTGGGTTAAAGCCTCTGTCTTCAGCTCAGGTCATGATCCCAGGGTCCTGGGATCGAGCCCCACATCGGGCTCTCTCTCAGCAGGGAGCCTGCTTTCTCTTCTCTCCCCTCTCTCTGCCTGCCTCTCTGCCTACTTGTGCTGTCAAATAAATAAATAAAATATTAAATAAATAAATAAAACATCAGTTCAACGATGCGTTCAATTTTTAGCCATATGATGTTAAAATATTTCAGAATATTATGCAACCTGAAAAACCTAGTTTCAACTATCACTTACACAGTGCAAGATGGTAGAATTAATTACAGATTTAAACTATAGCTTGGTAATCGTTAGCCACCAACAAGTTTTATTAAAAGCAAACTGCTCATTCAAAAGTGATCATGGAAGGATGAAAAACATCTCGTTCACCAACAGATTGTTTTAATTCTCTCACTATAGAAACAAACTTTTCATTTTTAGAGAAGGTTAAGTGTAACTTCAGTAGACAGCAATACAGAAAGATTCTGTCACATGGACTAGTTTCTCCAGTCAATTGCTTCTAGCTGTCTCCACTGGGATAGATGCATTTACAGAACTGGCTGTGCTTGAGCCTTCTTTGCAAGCAGCTTTAGATCTGCAATGCACTTGGCGATTGTCTCCTTTTCCTATGATAAGGAAAGAGAACTCTAGTTAGACCTCTCCAAATAACAGAAGTACGTATAAATATTCTAATTCTAAATGACAGTTCCTGTTACAAGATCTTGAGGTTCCTACAGACTCTCAAGATGACATGACAGACTACTACAAATTTTTTACGTATCAAGGGGGGGATGCAATTTATTCTAAGCAAATCCAGGGAATTAGTTAAAATCTCCCAGCTCACAGTTTTTATGAGTGAAATCTATGTAGAATTTGAAGCCAGGCACTCCTATAACCACGTGCCACTTGTTAGCTTGTATAGCTAAAAGCTGCATGAAAAACAGCAACCTAACAATAACACAGAAATGTTAAGAATAAAAATTTTATCTTTTTTCTTTAGTGTTTTCCCCATTTCTTAATTATGTTATTTTTATGTAAGACAATTTACTGAAAAAAAAAAAAAAAATCACTAAATGTTGGTAGACTCTGTTCTTCTAGTCCCTGATGGATATATAGAAAATGATCAGAAATGCCTATATATTCCATATATTTGGGAAAGAAGCAATCAAGTCCTAATAAAAAAAAGTAATATAACCTTTAAAAAGGAAAACAAATTAAGGCAAGTAATAAAAAAACATTTCTTTTCTGTTCAAGAGCAACAATGTAAGCAGCTGGGAAGAGGAAACAGAGTAGAGATCGTGGAATTAGGGAATGGAAGGGACTCAGAAATAGTTTTATCCAGTCTGCTGTACAGAGAAATGAACTATGTTGGTTAGCGTTTCCCACGTGATGGAACTCGAGTACAAGTGTGCCACCATCAGTGTTCCCAATTATCTGCCACTGTCTCCGACTGTGAGAGACCCTGTGGAGACCACACTCTGAGGAAGAGGAAAGCCACCAATGTAGCTGTGCAGTGTCTTCCACGTTACCACTACCCACAATGAACCAGGGCAACCCCAGCATCTCTAGGCTAAAGACTCCTTGACAGCTACTCCTATCCCAAGAGAGCAACAGCAGGGGCCGATTAAGAGAAACCAATACAACTCCAGAAGCTTCTGGACGCCACGTACCTGCTGTGCAGAGATGCTCTGCACCACATGCTTCTCCACCCAGTTTATCATGTGCTCTTGTTCCTTTCGACGCATCATGTTCTGCACAGAGATGTGATAGTCCAGGCGATTCTTCACCTCCCTGTATACCCTGTGCAGCCGCTCCCGGTAAGTAAGCTCCAGTGCCATAGCAATGTTATTCTGAAGCAAAATTCAGAACCAATGAAATACTTGGCATCACTGAAGGATCACTTCCACTCTGTGGATTCTGTGATTAGATTACCTCACCACTTTCTTGTATTTTATGATGAATTATTTTATTTAACATGAACAGATAAGAGATGAATGTGGTAAATAAATTCTAATAGCATATGGCAAAAATATACTTAGAAGTACATACAGTGAGTTTCCTCTCATCCACCCACAGGCCACCGTCTTCCTGTATTTCTTGTATTCTCTCCCAAAAATATTCAGTAAACAAAATACAGGTATAGGCAGGCATGCACACATACCCACACACACATATCACTTTTACTAATTGTGACATCTAGACCCACCACAATTTTAAGTTACCCTGAATTCTACTACACTGGTGTCCCATAATTCAGAGTTCATTTAGCTAAACTCTATTAATACATTACACTGCTTCCAATTTTTTCTACCAGAAATAATGCTGCAACTGTTCTGTATGTCTTTTCACTTATGTGTAAATACTTGCTGTAAATGGAGTGGCTGAATGGCTAAGTTGGTTAAGCGTCTGCCTTCCGCACAGGTCATGCTGGGATCTAGCCCCCTGCTGGGCTCCCTGCTCAGTGGGGTGTCTGCTTCTCCCTCTCCCCTCCCGCTCCTGCTCTCTTTCTTTCTCTAATAAATAAAATCTTTAAAATAAGTAAAAAACAAAGTTAACAAAAAAAATACTTGCTGTAATAATAACAGTACTCAATATAGTACCTACTATATTCTAAAAACTGTGTCAATTCAGCTAAGTCTTATAATCATACTATTGGATAGTTGCTATTATTATATCCACTTTACAGCAAAGAAACTGAAGCAGAAGCTAAGGAACTCACCGAAAGTCACGGAGGTAATAAACTGTGAAGCCAAAATCTGAATACAAGGAGCCAGGCTATAAAGCCTATGCTCTTAAACTATGATTAATACTGTCACATTCCACAAAGCTGAACTACACTTCATTCTCCTACCAGTAACACAAATGCCTATTACTTCAAACCCTAACCAATGATAATTAAACCTTTTACTCTCTATTCTCATAAGCGGAAAAAACAGGAATTTTAATGTCATTATCTAAGAACATGTACATATTCAGAAACCACTTACATTTATTTATTTATGAATGGTCTGTGCCCTATGCCTAGTTTTCTACTGGGATGTTGGTCTCTCCTAAGGTAACTACCCTTTTGTGTCAGATGGAAAAAACATATTCTTCCCAGTTTGTCGTTTAACTTAGTGTATGATTATTTTTACATGTAAAACTTTCATGAGATCCATTTAACAACTTTTCCTCTTATAGTTTCCGGGTTTTTAAAATTTTTATTTTTTTTCTCTCCCAAGTTTTATTTAAATTCCAGTTTTTTAACATACAGTGTAATATTAGTTTCAGTATAGAATACAGTGATTCAACACTTCCATACAACACCCAATGCTCATTGTAGCAGGTGCATTCCTTCATTCCCATCAACCATTTCATCCAGCCCCCACCCACCACCCCTCTGTGACCATTAGTTTGTTATCTATAGTTAAGAATCTGTTTCTTGGTTTGCCTCTTTTTTTTCCCCCCATGCTCATTTGTTTTGTTTCTTAAATTCCATGAGTGAAATCATACGGTATTTTTCTTTTTCTGATTTATTTAACTTAGCATAATACTCTCTAGCTCCATCCATATTGTTGCAAATGGCAAGGTTTCATTCCTTCTGAGGGCTCAGCAATACTCTATTGGTTGTGTGTGTGTGTGTGTGTGTGTGTGTGTGTGTGTGTGTACACACACATCTTGATCCATGGACTTCATAAAAATTGAGGTGTAATTTAAAGTTTTTATAAACTGAGGTATAATTTCAGGTGTTTAACATAGATTCAGTATTTCAAATACACTGTGAGACGACCACCACAGTAAGCCTAGTTAACATCTGTCACCATTAAGTTTGTGGATTTTTTAATCTTTATTAGAAAGGCTTTGTCAACTCCAAAGGTATTTTTTTTGTGTGTGTGTTCTCTTTTTCTACCTTACGACTTCATTTCTTAAAAAGATCTTTAATTCATTTGGAATTTATTTTAGTAGAAAGTGAAAGGTAGGAAACCAAAGCTGTGTCTACACAGGTGCCAATTCTCTCCCCTCTACAACGGAACTGCCACATCTACACTGCGTTAGCGTTCTCAGCATTTAAATGGATCTCTAGATCTTCTCCTCTACTGTGCCACACTGACTTTCCATTCATGCACTGCACCACACTATTTACAACTCCTTATAATTTTATAATGGATTTTCATATTTGGCAAGACTGTTTATTACTTCTCTTTTTCAAAATATTCCTGGATAGTCTTTCTTTCTTTTTTTAACTAATAATCAATGTGTCCAAGTCCCAACATCCCCTCCCTCCAGGCCATTAGTTATTTTCCTTCTAGAAATGCGTTAAATGTAAAGATTAAAGTAGGGAGAACTGATGTCTTTATAACACTGAGCCTTCCAATCTAAGAACAGGACTCTTAGACCTTTATACCTCACAAGCATTGTTATGTTTTTTGAAGGAAAAACTGTGCACATTTCTACTGAAGTTTACTCAAGGCATCTTTTCCTATACAGTTTATCTTCTTCCAGTGTACTGCCTAACTGACTGCTATTTGTATATGAAGGGTACAGATTTCGCTTATC